TTACCATCACTCCAAGATTTCTTTCCTCATCAGTCACTGCTATCTTAGATCCCATTCGTTTGTATGAGTATTTAGGTTTTTGGCACTAATGTGCATCACTTTTTACTTTTTCATATTGAACAACATCTGTCATTTTGATGCCCACTCCCTAATGGGCAAAGATCCTTTTAGAGCTCTTTGTAGTTCTTTATAGTTTTTATCACTCTGAACAATTTAGTGTCATTAGAAAACTTGGTATTCAACTAGTCATGCCTGATTCCAGATCATTTATAAATATGTTAAAAAGCACTGGTTCTAAGAGAGAACCCTGGGGCACCCCACTAATTACATCCCTCCATTGTGAGAAGCGTCCACTTAGTTCTACTATTCGTTTTCTATTCTTTAACCAATTTCTTATCCACAAGAGGACTTGCCATTTTATTCCATGGCCTTTAAGCTTATTGAGAAGTCTTTGATCTGGTATTTTATCAAAGGTGTTTTGAAAATTTAAGTACATTATTATGTACTTAGATTGTATATTATGTCTACTGGCTCATCCTTATCCACATGTTTATTAACACCCTGAAAATTTCTAATAGGTTGGTTAGACAAGAGCCTTCCCTTAGTGAAGCCATATTGGGTATCCATGAGCAAGGCCTCTGTCTCCAAATGTTTGATATTTTATCTTTCCAGGAACAGATGTTAAACTGTCAGGCCTATAATTTCCTGGATTTCCCTGTGAGCCTTCTTAAAAATTGGAATTATATTGGCCACCTTCCAGTCCTCAACCACAGAGGCTAAGTGTAGAGACAGGTTACATATTTCAGTTAAAAGGTCCACAGTCCCAGCTTTAAGCTCCTTAATAATCCTTGGGTGGCTGCCATCAGGATCTGGTGATTTGTTCCTGTTCAATTTGTCAATAAAGACCAGCACTTCTTCTCTTGTCACTATTATATGGCTTAGTTTATTTGATTCCCTTCCTGAGACAGGGCCATCAGTTGTCTGGGGTGGGCCAATCTAATAGGCCCAGCCTCCCTGCAGAGGGGAGTGGTGCCAGAGAACTGGAGGCTCACCAGGGAGTGATTTGACCATGATAGGGGAGAAACCAATATCTCCCCCAAATCCAAAATACCCTGCCACTGCTCCAACAGAAAAACCAGGTCAGGGGTATGACTGCTATTATGCGTCAGGCCCTGGATGACTTGGAACAGGCCCGTGGCTGTCATGGTGCCCATGAACTCCCAAGCTACCTCAGATCCCGCCCCCAGAGAAGACAAGTTAAAGTCCCCCAAGACCATAAGACTGAGGAACTCCACTGCCAACCTGGCCACGGAGTCAAGAAGCTTAGGCAGGGAGGTTGCTATGGAGCAGGGAGGCTAGTACAGTAGCAACAGTCCCAACTGATCCCTCTTAGAGCCCTTAACAAACAAGGTCTCACACCCAGCAATCTGATGAGTAGTGCCCCTGGATGCCTCCCAAACATCTCAGAGGACCACCGCCACCCCACCACACCTACCCTAGGGTCTTGGCTGGTGACACACCTAGAACCCAGGTGGGCACATCTCAGAAAGAGGAACCCCTCCATCCTGTTCCAGCCAGGCCTTGGTAATACATGCCAGGTCAGCCTTCTCATTGACAATCAAGTCATGAATGAGGGTGGCCTTATTGCAAACTGACCTGGTGTTCATAGCAGCAGCCAACAACACAGGACCTTGAAGGTCTGTCATCCATGGCCTGGGAATGAGCTTCAGGAGCTGGAACATGCCACAGGAACAATATACCTGTGGCAAGGTCTCCAAGAGTGGTCTGCCCCCGTTTCCTGTCATATCTTCCCATACCTGTCACTAATGGGATGTTATAGCCTGCCCCCATCCCTTCAGAGCCTTCCCCCTCCCCTGTTCATATCCCTTTGGATCTAAAAACTGAACTAAAATTTCAGAAACTATCAATTAAGTAGAAACCCATTAAGTTTCTTTAGATATATATTGCTTAATATATCTAATCTAAATAATAATTGCAACTGTTGTTTGGCTTATTTTGAAAAATAACCCCTATAAAGAAAAAGATGAACTAAAATGTAAGATCTTACTACTGTCAATATGGATGAAGACTGTTTGTATCATAGTCAGGCACTGGATTATTTCTTCCCTGTATTTATCACAGGAAAATACGTAACTAATATTTTATCTGTCAGGCAAACAATCCAGCTCCTTAAACTTATAAGTTCTGTTTTTAAATAATCAGATTGTTAGATAAATTTTTAACAATATTTGTCAATCACCTTTATTTTTAATCTAAATACCTGATAGAAGATAGTGTTTATTAATGTTATTGTTGAAACCACAAAATACTTGCCTATCCACTTCTGCATATAGTTAGCCAAAATAGTCCCCAGCTGGGAGTGCAGTTTTTCCCCAAAACAGATCATTCATTCATTCATTCATTCAATGTATATAGCTACCCAGTTCACATTTACACCTCACATTTACTATTATTTACTAGGGACCCAAAATAGAGATTCAATCTAGTGGTTTGCTATGGCAATAGCGCATTACCATACCAAATCTTTTCAGTATTTCTCTCTTACTGGCTTCCAACCATTATCAGGCATTATTCTCATTTTGGAGTTGTATCGAATGTCCAGTGTTTATTAGCTCTTGTGTGACAAAAGCTGACAGCTGTTTAGTTCTCATCCTTCATTGTGAGAATTCACCAAGATTCAGGGTTAAAGAACTTTGTGTCAAGGCAGGATAAATATGTAGAAAATCAGTTAAATTTGCATCATTCCCTTTTTTTTCTGTCAGTCTGATCTGTGTCATTCACACTGATGAAGATGACATTTATTCTGAAAAAGAATGTCAAACCTTTCAACTACTACCATCCGCATCCTGCATTGCTAACATTGTCTCTTTGCATCATACATAAGGAGCTCTATGCCTCTACTGAAGCTTCATTGGGAGCCTTCTTTAGCATTTCCTGATTTTGGCAGGAAATCTGTCTGTACTGCATGTGTTCAAAGGCAATTATTTGCTTTCCTTTTAGTATCTTTCCAACAATTCTAGCAATCGCATTATAGGAATTTGGTTTGTACTTTCTTGCTGTGAGGCTGCAGATTAGTCATCCTTTTATTATTCTCAAGTTTGTTTACAATTGTCATCAAGATTCACAGACTTTGCCTGCAAGGGAGAGTGAAGCATGGGCATTTGTACGTGTGAGTGGTTCTGTGGGAGTGACTCTGATGGTACTGTACCTTCAGCTTTCACCAACAGTGCTCCAACATTCTCAAGCATTGAAATTATTCCTTCTTATATATCTTGTGCAAAAAATCTAGGAAGGTCAAGAAGGCAGGGTGGATATGGCCATTGCACTGAACTCAGAGAGAGAGAGAGAGGCTTGATGTGAATAGAAATTGATGAGGACTTTAATTCAGTTCAAAGCATAGAGGTCTCAGCAGTTGCATCTCATGGCTGCGATAATAATTCCATTACCTTCTAATAAGATTGGTGATATAAAACTGCCAGATAGGTATGGGTTCAGCATTATAAAGACTTTATAGACTTCTTACAAAGTAGAGATCAACAAATGAGGCCCTGAAGAAGAGCATTCTTCAGAATCAGAACATGAGACATTGAAATTCCATATTTTTCATCCCTAGTTCCATAGGATTGTTCTGTCTGTTCTTCATCTGAGGATGCCAAAGCATACAAAACAATTCTTGTGCTTAGAAAAAGTTTTGCCTTCAGGTTAGCTTATATCTTCTTCGATGGATGACCCAGTTCACATTGATGCACATGAATCAGTAACATTACTGGCACTTACTTACTTACAGTACTTACTTACTTGACACCACCCAACTGCAATCAACTCTGGGCAGCTCACAGCATAAAACAAATCTACAAAATGTGATCAAAAAAATAAAACATATAGCAATAGCAAGATGGTGAATCCTGTTAGCAACAAGCGTATCATGCACCCAAGAAGGGGGTCCAATATCCTAGGCAAATCCTGGCAGAAGAGACAGGTCTTTAAGGCCCCCTGAAATGCTATCAGAGCAGAAGCTACCTGGATTTCTGGGGAAACCTCATTCCAGAGGGCAGGCACCATGATAGAGAAAGCACACTTATGGGGTCCCAATAGATGACAGTGTTTAATCGAAGGTGGCTGAGCCAACACCACAGCAAATAAGCAGTTCCTCAAGTAACCAGGCCTTTACTTAAGTATGATAAAGACTTGTGGCAAAAGCTGGCTTTGATGTCATCTACCTTTAGGAAAGTAAAAATATTATACAGGAGGAAAATTCTTACTTGATTTCCATGATAGTTGTGGCATTGCAAGACAAATCAAGTGCATAGTTCCATGCCATGTAGTATCAGTTACCAAGGAGGGGGAATGCTATATAAATGAGTTTCACTGCCTGTTCTCTACAGTCTGGTATTTAGTCCATGCTCCTGGGCTTTGTTAAGCTTTAGCTACTTGGTGTCCAGACCAAGTTGATGCCCAGTTTGGCAGAGCAGTGATGCTCTCAGTCTTGGACTAGAGCATTTCCCCACCACCATCAGGTAAGCATAGAGGAGGAGGAGGAGAGAGGTCCTGTCTAGATTAGGGGACATAGTGTAGTTTTCTAATTTTTTTTTTTAATGCCATGCTATACTGTACAGCTTTGTGCTACTAGCGCATGTTGATGTGTTAGTCAAGTGGGGCTTTGTAACAAATTTATATGTGGATAATGTATTTGCGTGTTTGCTTATAAATAGAGTGCTTCTATGTAACATTACTAAAACTAGTAGTTGATATTCATTTAAATGGATCAAAATTCATTTCTGGGTGTATAAAAAAGAGAAGTTCAGCACCTCAAAACACTTTTGCTAAACTATGCATTTACATACCTAGTATAACAGTATACTGTATAACTGGAACAATGTGTTACAGGAGAATTTCACTGGCATTTTTTTCCTAATTAGCTGTTAATTTTTTTTTTCTTCTCTCTCCTTCTTGTGTTTCCATTTGTGATCACTGTGCAGGTGAGAAGCCCCACCAATGCAGCATTTGTTGGCGATCCTTCTCCCTAAAGGATTACCTAATCAAACACATGGTGACTCACACTGGTGTCAGAGCGTACCAATGCAGTATCTGTAATAAGCGTTTTACACAGAAGAGTTCCCTAAATGTGCATATGCGGCTCCACCGTGGGGAGAAATCCTATGAATGCTACATTTGCAAGAAAAAGTTTTCACACAAGACCCTGCTTGAAAGACATGTGGCTCTACATAGTGCCACAAATGGAACATCTAGCACAACAAGCACTGGTGCAAGGGCACTTCCAGCTGGAGTGATGGCCTGCACAGAGGGAACCACCTATGTTTGCTCTGTCTGCCCAGCTAAGTTTGACCAAATTGAGCACTTCAATGACCACATGAGGCTGCATGTTTCCGATGGGTAAATAATATCTATTCTGTTATGAACAACAACAAAGCCCAAACAGAGAAACAACAAGAAGCTATGGCACTAGATTTTTTTTTCATTTTTCATTTTTAGTTTGTTTATTTTCATTTTTGTACTACATGATGAACTGTTTTTTGCCTGCTGGTACATTACATTTCTGGAAGCTGGATGAATAGTAATTATCTCAGCCTTCCTTTGATGGTGGCCTTAAGGCCAGATAGTGCTTCAGGAGATCTACTGGTTGGATCTCTAGCTACTGGCCTCTAAATACAACCCTTCTTTACTACAAAAAAAAAAAAAACCTTAAAAAAATTGTCACTTGTGAAGAGCACTACAAAAAAACAACAAAGAGAAATATGTTATGAAATCTACAAGGCCTACTGTCGTAAGTACACCGCTTGCAGTGTTTCAATGGACAGATTCACAATTCTGACCGCTTTGGACTTCACAGTATCCAGTTAAAACTGTGGAATAGAAACATAAAATTGATCAACAACACAGAAAATGGGCCCTATTGGTTTCCACCATTAGTCTTGCTATCATAAAAGGGCTGTGGAGAATGGCAAGGGAGTTTGGGTTGGATGGTGTGGAGTCCCTGCAGGATGGGGAAGGAGAATAATAGATTCCTCTTGTGGATTCGGTTCCATTCCACACATTCAGATTCATAACCCCAACTTCTTTCTCCCCCACTAACACCAATACCATATTTCATCAGACTTTAGGAACAATAAGTAAGAATTAGGTGAACAAAAGTAACTTTTCTGCAATTTACACATTGTCTTTGCTGAGCATAGGGCAAACTTGGCCAATCTGGCACCCTCCAGGTCTGCTAGCACTGCAACTCCCAGATTTCTAGATGGGAACTGCAAATACAACAAATCTGGAAGTGCAAGACTAAGGAGGGATGACACAGAGCCTCAGCCAAATAGTGGGACTTTTGCAAATGTCAAAGAGTAATAGCAAAAGGAAAAGATCAAGAGTTTTTTTCACCTACCATTCTAGGTATAAGGAAAGGATTACTTCCTAAAATCTTTGGGGATAAAATAAAAAAGGCTGCATCGAGCCCTATCCATGCGAAGAGAAGTAAAGTAATAGACGAGTGGAAAAAACTAAAAAGAGTTCTCAAGATTTTTTTTTAATTCAGTTTTTTTAGGGGGACAGAAGTGGTGTTTACCAGATAGAATGCTGATTTTTTAAAAGAAATATATATTTACTTCAGTATTTCTGTACAAAAACAGAAGGAAGGAAGAGTGTAACTTTTTAACATAATTTTTCTTTTTTCTTTTGTTTTGCATACACTGCCACTAATATCTGCCCAGTTATATAACTGAATGTGTGTATACACACACATACACACCTTAAAGACTGTTAAGGTTAGGTGTCCTACTTTCATATAGCAAGGGGGTAAAAGATGAGGTGGTCCTGATATTTCTTTCTGATAATAGAAATATGTGTCAACATATTTTCTGTTGTTTTCTTTATGCTTTTATTACTTTGAGAATAGCACCTTGAAAAATGAGTGATAATATATATGGTATCTTCCACCATATTCTGTCCATATTGTAGTGTCACTTGAAAAGCTGTTCTGAACTCAGATTATTTTCTAAGACTTTTAATTAAGTTCCATCTAAAGTTTAAATGAAATATAGTTTCAGAAGGAAGTGTTTTAACACTATTTATACTATTGGAATGATAAAATATTATTTTGTTTATAGTTTCTGGAAGTACCTAGAAAAAGGGCATTTCTTTATTTAAAGAATCACTTGTGGAGATTGGTTTTATAAAATATTTTTATCCTGCCTGAAATATAGATCAAATCTCTCATTTACTTAAATGCTAAACCTTCCTTTTTCTTATAAAAGTACAGATAATTTTCCCTATCTTCATCTGCAAAAACATTAAAGATAAGAGCCACGCTTTGCAATCTCTACTTCAAAAATAGAGTAAGTCATTCAGGATTAATTATAAGTTTTTGTTAATCGCTACTCCCCTTCTTAGAGGATGTTGAGAATTTATCACCTTAAACAGTACTTTTTATGTACCTATTTACATTGGGTTAATGTCTAGCAAATATAGTAAGTTTTCCTGTGTATCATGGTACATAATTTCTAGTCCAGACAAAAATGATCTGAAAATAATATGCAAATGGAGAGTCAAGGAGAACACATTTATGTAGATTTTAAATGTATCTCTGTTTCAACTAAATCTTCTGAGGTTGCATTCCTATGCACACTTATGTGGGGAAAAAGTACAGTAGAAATCAATGGAAATAACTTGTATAAAGTGTTCAGGAACAGGATGCTAGATTTACTAATGTCTGTGGCTTTTGTGAGACACTCCTCCATGCTGAACATCATTTCATTTGACATTTAAATGTTGGCAACGTAGGTCACAACTATTATATAGCACAACCTTATTCATGTCTATTCTGAGGTAAGTCCCACTGAATTCTGGGGGATTTATTCTCAGCCAAGCATATACAGGATTGGGATCTTAAATATTTGTAAGTTAGGTAAGCTAAAGTAATTCCTCAATGTATTATAAATGACTTAGGCAATATGGGCACATTTTTAGACTAACAATTGCTACAATCCTCATAATTTTTTAAAAACTAAACTATGTTTCAACAAGTTAAAATTATTATGAGCACAAATTAAAGAAGGTAGAAAATGTTCATGCATAATTTAGATACCATCCTAATCATCAATCCAGAAAGATAATTTTTTGAACATAAACAAATTAACCAGAAGAAAGTTCTATAGATTTGAGTGTAAATTAATTCCACATAATTCTACTGATTAAGTAAAGGGATGCACATATGGAACAGTCATTTTAAGTTAATAATACTCATTAGTATAGGAACTTCATCCCATTTTCTGAATTTGGAAAAAAGTAAAGTACAAAATATTAACTTGTTACAATAATTCACAAACAATAATTTCATCAGAAATAATATTAAAAAGCAGAAGAGAAGACAGAAACTGGATAAAGAATATGACAGTATCTTTTGAATATGACATATTTTTATTAACTATTGAGAATCAGTCAAGAATTTAAGTTTGATCTCTTTAAGCAATAACTTGATTTTATATAGCCCATTTGCCAGATGAATGTTAGGGACCAATTAATTACCAATAATAGAAACAATTAATAGTTTGATTCAGTTGTCAAAAGTTGGAGAGTTGTGAGACCTGAAATGGCCAAACACTAACAAGAAAAAAAGTGGAGAAAACCTTAGTGCAGAAGCAAAATTCATAACAAAATCTGCAATTAAAAACATGCTTATTCTTTTAAAAAACCAGTTTTTAAATATGATTAATTTAGATCTAGTTGCTTGCTGTTCATTGGAAATGAATATTGTCTCAAAACAAAATAAGTTTTGTTCGGTGAAGAAAAGGTATAGATCACCTTCCCTCATTCACCCAAAATAATATACTCTATGCAGAAAATCCTTGTTGCTCACACAGGTCTCCAGATGCTATACATGCACCATGTATTAGTTTAGGAGAATGTAGAAAACTGGGACACTCGCATCAGTCCTTCTGCAAGCATTTGTACTTGAGGCTGAAGAACTAAGATTTGTGAAATTTAGATCAAGTGACAAATTATCTAAACCAAGATTTTTATTTGTAGTTCTAAGATATAAATAATTTGGGGGAAACCATTTACTCTGCTGCAATTACAGTTTTGGTGATCTGTCATTTCATGAAAAAAATATTGCAGTTTTCATTGTACGGTGTCTTAAAAAGGTGATTTTTCAGCATTAGCTATGTTACTGCTTTTTAAATTTCTTGCTCCTGGTTTCTATTTAGGTCTCTTTTCTAAAGCTACAGCTGTTTTATTTAATTTTGATAAGTAGCATTTATGCATGGATACAATTTCAGTTTTGTGAAATAAAATCCAAAGGTTCTTCAGTGAATGAAAAGCTATAATCATGTGCAGAAAATTCCTAAATAATAGATAAAATTATCCCTACCCCGCCCATCCATATTGAACCCAATTAATCAGCCAATTAATCAGATAATTAATTTTTACTCAGTGATGTACTGTTCAGGCCACTAATTATTTTGATTCTTTCCATACATTTTCTGTACTTTTTTTTATTCTTGCAGTGATGAGTACTATATTTCAAAGAAATGCAGCAAAACTTCAAAATGTGTGGCTTTATTGGATTTTTATTAAAAAAAAGTATTCAGATATTTTAATTTTCATATTATATAACTACATTGTATCCTCACCACGGTCACAGCCCAATGTGGGCCCAATTTTTTCCAGTATGGCTAAATACCTGCTCTGAATTAGTTTATAGCTCATATAAATCCTTATAGTGTAATTGGAAATATAGGCATTATCCAGATGGTTTTCTAATATTTTTACTTTACTTTAAAAGCATTATTCTGTATAGCCAAAGGTCACTACAGTCCAAAAAGCCTATAATTTCATAACCCCAATGAATTCTACAAGAATATTAATATATTTATTTATGTTTAATGTTTCAGGTATATTTGCACTGAACTTAATTGAACTTCCATTTCTTTAATTTTAAATTAAAATGTTCAGTAAGAAACATGAAAATAGTCTTCATTTTTATATTGTTTAAAATGTTTGCACTGAAAGCTTTTTATTTATAAAGAATAGAAGGGTTCAAAACATTGTTTTTGAAAGAAGAGGAGGAACACATTTGCTTGCATTTTGTTATTATTTCCATAATTTCTTATTTGCAGGTAGTTGAGTTACATAAAAAATGATATAGGGCAGTGCAAGGTTCTGGTCTTATATAGTCTGTATAGTGGCAATTCTTTTTTCACCTTTTTGAATGTGTGGAAAAGTGAGTTCTGGATTTTTAGCTATATCTTGTCTGAATATATGCACATCTCCTTTTCAGGGCAGGTAACATGCCTTGAAGACAGAAGTGCTAGTTATTCATGCACAACTATTTGCCTCATATTTTAATGTGTAAAACGTTTATTAGTCATCCTAAACCACAGGAAACTGTATCTGGTAGATTTGTGGGGTTCGGTATATCTATTGTAGTTAATCAGAACTCTTACTGAATTAGAGATTCTGTGGTTCACTGAATGGTTTAATGAGCTCAGCAAAATATTAGCAAGGTGCCATTTGATTTATGTAAGACAGAATACTAAATCTGTGTATCTAGTGCTCACTAAATGTATTTGGATTTTAGCATTCAAATTACGGTATGAAATAAGGTCACAACATGTTTGGTAGAAAAGCTGGAATTAATAAATTATTTCTACATATATTTAATTTAAACATAGTGGCTGAAATTCATAACTAGAAAATAACATTTGAGGTCACCATTGTAAAGTTAATAATGGGCAAGCTTATCCAAAGATAATAAAAAAATGACCATCTGAAGCTAGGAAACATACATTTCATCCACATCCAAGCCCCAGCTCTTATGCTCACAAGTGTCATTAGACTTCAGAGGTCCTCTCCTTCCCAAGGCCACTTTATTACTGAGATAGATGCCAAAAGTGTATCCCATGCAACTTCCACCACCCCTTTGCTGTCCCTGTAACCACCCAGCCCAGAGGGTGAGCTTGGCCATTTTTTATTTTTAATGTTTGTGGGGATTTTAAGAGGCAGAATGGATGCCTTATCCCTTTAAAATCCAGGGCATTTTGGAGTTTAATTCTACCATTTTTGGAGGGCAGCCCTTGACAAGCTGTGCAAAGCCTCAGGCAGCTGTATAGCTGATGGAAAAGGCACACATTGACCGGAATGCTTTTCATTAAGAAGAGAAGGAAGCAGTTGGAAGCAAAGCCAGAGACTGAAGTGCAGTTTGCTGCATTGTGGCATAATATAGCACTCTCTTATTCTGTCTGTGCCTTTCCCTACCTCTTTCAGTGCCATCCCATCCCTTTCTCTGCAGGTACCACAGTTTAGGCCCAAGGATGGTCTCTGTTGCTGCAACAACAATTAGGCTCTAGAATGATCCAATCATTGTACTCAAAATGTCAAGATGCCTCAGAAATGTTGTTTCCCAATTATCTTATTACCCACAATAATGCTGTGGTGCTTAGAGTTCTCATGAAAACTGGTGGCCACTTCTTCGTTGCTACTTAATGGGAAGTTTTGTATCAGTTGTGAGGAGTTTAGGCTCTGCTGGAAATTGTGAAGTAGAGAGGTTTGTATTTCAAA